ATTTTCACATTATACATTTACTACAATGCATTCTACCAGGCTTACAAGCATGTTTTCACGTCCCCAAGTTCAGTCGAGAGGGAGCCGAAGGCCACGCGTTCGGGAAATGCTCGCCTCCATGGCATGAATGCTGTGACCATTGCTTCCGTGGCTTATATCGCAACCCAGGTCCGTTGAACATCACACTTCTACCGCAGCATGGTTTTCATGTATGACTAAAGGTGCGATTTGCTCTCAGTTCGTCCTCGGTATTCTCGCGGACCGATACAACTACGGACTCTGAGACGTTTTACCACAGTCTCCTTGACCTCTTAGAAGACCCCGAGGAATGTCAAGAAGTCGATGAACTGCTGACCTGGTGGAATCGGTATGTTTTATCACCTTTCACCATGTTGCCAAAGGCTGATATTACTCAGCCAAGTGTTTCCCACATCCTCTGCTGCGAAGAGACCTATCAGTGCCAATAGCGCCTTATCCAAGATCCGACAAAAACGCCTTGCTCTCAGACAAGCCGCAGATTCGGATAATGGGTCTCTGTAGTTTTCATTTTGACATGTCGAATCGTATTTAATATAAATGTAACTTAATGACAGTCTGCTTTACTTTTGTAACCCGGCTAGTCCGCTGAAGTGATTGTAGGACAACAAAGGTGCTACACCGCTGTAAAATATAGTTGGTCATCGTGGCGTGCCAGTCATCTGTCTTCTATGCAGCATATTGCTACGAGAACGAATGCCTTGCATGATAAGACCTGGAGCCAACATCATGCTCGCACTTGGTCGAATGAAAATAACAAGCTAGCATTATAAGCAATGACTATACTGTGACTGCATGCGGATGGAAGGAACAGTATCAACTCCTTGGTGCTCATGGCACAATGTAGCCTAGCGTTCGAAGATTCTGTCTAGTGGAGTCGTTCAGGAAGAGTCTGGGAAAACCATAACGGTTCGCTTACCTTGCATACGAAAACCATACCTCATCGATAAGCTGACGAAGGATACCACACCGTCATGCGTCCGCACCTTGGGACTAAAATCAGCTCTCATCCAAACCAGTCTAGCCTTGGGAGACTTCAGCACTTAGAGAGAAGATGTGGAGCATAGAATAACAAACAACTTTATGTGCAGTTAGTAGATATCATCAAGGTTGGGCAGTATATTAATGCACTGTCGCTCGTCGCCCGAATTGTGCACCTAGTAGATTGGAGCATCACCGGCTACCATCACAACCACATACTCAAAGTCAGCGCGGAGGGTGTTTTTGTCGATGGCGCAATGACAAGCTCGAGTTGCCAACGATAATCACATTGATAGAGCTTGAGATTGCGTTGCGGACACATGACACCCTTGAACTGTAGGCAGTGTCAGTCCAAAGGAGTCCGGCCATATAAAGCTTTTTCTGATGCTAGCATCAGTTCAGATATTGTGGAGTATAAAAGGACAAACTAACTTTGCATACTCGTATCGCATCTCGCCGAGGTTGAGCAGGATGGTAAAGTACTGCCCGAATTGGGCACTTGGCAATCACCGGCTAGCATCACAACCACCAGCGCAAAGTTAGCATTTTGCCGACGGCACAATGACAACCTCTGATTACAAAAGACATTCATAATTACACAACTTGGTACTGCGTTATGGTTGCTCGGCCCTCCTGGGTTGTAGGCAGTGTTGGTCTGATGAAGTCCGGCCATATCAAGCTTTTTCTAACGCTGAGCATCAGTGCATTTGATTGTGAAGAAAGTACAAACAATCAGAGATTATAATATTGTCATGACCAATGCAACTATATTGTCATGATTGTGCATTTGGCGGGTTCTATCCAACTGAGTCCGGGTATTCAAAGCTTTCTCGAGTGGGATACAATTTTGATAGGTATTGTGCAGATTTTAAATCAGACAAAGATAGCTAAGAATTTGTCGTTTTCGGGTCAGTTACCTGATGGATGGATGCGCGCTAAAACCGTGAAGTTCAAATTTGGTTAGACTCGGACTCGGAATTGCCGCGGCCCTGTCCCCGATATTACGTGCCCACTGCCGCTCAACTTGAACAGGCCCGTCATTGACTCGGAACGTTAGGCAACCAAACATGTTGACCAAGAAGCTGATTCTAAGGCTCTTGAAAAGTCTATGCCAAGTGTTAGCAGCACTCATAACTCGATCTGCCCAAAGATTGCGCATCCTCGTGACTTGCTTTCGACACTTTGTGGCCAAGTTGACTCGGAAGATTCGCGGTTTCCCCAGGCACACTGGCAATAATGACTCGACGACACTTTCTCCTGTAGACTGTTGTACTGTACCGCCCAGTACTTCTGGTGTGCGATATCCCCCCGTCAAATTACCGCTGCCACTTCACAACCGGCAAATAACTTCAGCTAATGCAGCACGCAGCGGCACGCAAGATGTGTTGTTGTCTTCGATGTCAGTATTCCCCATGCCTGAACCATGCATTCCACAGCAATTTATTCCTCCTCAACTGGTTTTGCCTCCACAAGTTCCTAACGCCAACCCGGCTTCCAGCGTTCCTAACACCGACATCAAGCTTATGCCATTCGCTGCGAATGACATTTCACGATACGAGAATCGTCCTTTTGTGTACGTGAATGCAATCTATCTAAACAATGTATCAATCTTGAGGCGGCGGCCTCTAGAAACCCAGCTCAAAGGCGCGATCGAATTCAAGCGCTCATGAAACGATTCCCAAACGAGTGAGTGCACAGCCGGGGGGTGAATGCGGATAACGAACTGTTCAGATCATGTCCATGGCTGAGAGGTGATTGGGAGTTGTGTGTGCACCCGGAAGGTGTACTATATCTACACAACAACCGCAAGGTAACCATTCCATCATGAAGTTTATCTGCACTTTTCACGTATCCTGCAGAGTGTGTTCACAGAAGCGACCATGGATAGCAACATGTTCGGATTTCTCGACAAATTTGTGGATGCATTAGATGAACTAGCACAAACACAATCAGTGAATCTCGGAGATGATAACGTTGACCTCGTCGTGCAACTAGCACAGAATGAAGAGGGTGAAGTGTCTTGCTATTATTATTTCGTCGACCACACAGATCGAATACTATTTTGGCTGCACGATCGCGATCAAGCGACGGATGACATTTTTAGTGGGCTCCAGGGCGTCATGGATTCGAGCCATATTCGTGCGTTATGCAGGACTGGTGACGATGCTGCTGATATGACCTAACCAATAGGATATTCCCTGGAGTCTGAATACTGGTTTGTCATACTCATTTTTGTACGAGTTTTGACTACTTCCTGCGAGATCTATTTTGATGCTCATGTGATTTCAGAACCTATGACTGTATGACATGGAACGAGCAGGACGCATTGCGAATCTTACCCGAAACACCAGATGGATAGACCGAAGATCATTAAGGAACTGAGGGAGCTTGTTATGCATGCAAGTGCAGGTACTTATCGCCTAGATTCAATTATCCGATTCTGTTTAAATGCGCGATTCAGAGATCATTACTTCGGACACGTCCTTGTCGCCTTTTGATGGAGATGAACTCTCCAGAATCTTGGAGTTGATAAATCATCTAAAAGGTGTGGGCGCCCCCTTCGAACTATTTTTATCTGTAATAGTCTCAAGTGCTATTATATATCTTCAGAGAATGCTCTAGACAATGACCCACATTCCACTTGTGTTATTGGTGAGCAAAACTATATTCATAGAATAATCTAAGACTCACCATTTCGTCAACAGCGAGATTCATGCACTACTTCTGTATATTCTTCATTCGATGTCTTAAGCGCGTGGCTAATTCATGCCGAAGATAGAGCCAAGTTCTTCAACTTCTGCGGTCTACCCTGCGCTCGTCTTGAAGCTGATAAATCGGTGTACAAGGACGATGAAAACCCTCATCCACTGACCAGTAGTGCTTCTTTCGCTCTCAACGCCATGCTTTTTTGGGCACCACAATCACACTTGGAAGAACTTCGAAAGTGTGGGTAGATGAATGCATCAATACTCCGCGGTGGAAAGACTTCAATAAAAACCTCATGACAGAATGGACTGGGATCACAATCTATGTACGTATTATGATGTCAGTGTCCTCCTTCGTAACTTGATTGTTTCCAGTCCAGTGTCATGTTAGCAGTAGACGTAAGTTTCCTTGCAGTGCCGAATGTATATATTGGCCAGTCGCAGTCGATCGGGATTATCGTCACCTATCTTTCCATCATCTTCATCACCGGCTCCTTGATCGTCTCAGTCCTGCTGGTGCGACAGAACCAAAGATATGGTTTTGAGTCAGCGGACAAAGCAGCAAGTTCTTGCACTGGTGTCTACTTCTTCCATGCTAACTAATTCCGTCAGACGGATTTTCTGTCTCATATGACGGGGACATTTTTCGGAGTGAGAGCCCTTGCCACGGTTCACAGTCTTCCCTACGCAATGCTTATGTGGGGGTAGGTGGATTACTACACTATCACCGGGCTAATGGTCACCTTATTCTTGATTAGGATGATATACTTCGCAATCGCCATTTTGTACAATGTGTTCAAGTCTACGAAAGCGGCCATGCTGGTATCAGTTGTCGGTGGATGCGTGGTCGTCACCATGTTCATATTTTGGTTCATCTGGGCAGCAAGAGAGTTCCGTCTTTTCGAGCCACTGGAAAAGATTTTCCCCTCAAGAAATACTCGACCTTAGCACATACTTCATGATTTGGATATATGGAATGACAGTTACTTTATCGTCAACTGAATTTGTGGCATTGAATGCCTGAATCAGTTGCTAAGCTGCCTGTTACATTCCGAGGGAATATAAACCACTGGCATAGGATTTCGTACGTTTTAATGGAGACCAGCGTTGACATTATCTCATGCGTAGTTCAGCGGCTGTGTCACACCGTTACCATGCGTGTACAGTGATTTGCGTTTGCCTCGCTTGGCGCTCGAATTTGATACTAGTATCTCACTCTACCATGTGGCCATACTACATCAAGGAAAACCTGGAAAAAGGCAAATTTGTGTAAATACGTCTAATCAGACTCGCTACCTGGCATCATGGCATGTCACTGCCACCTGATGATGGGGGTCGGATGTATCACGAAGGAGTCGACGACGGTCGACTGTTGCGGCACCGGAATATACAGGCGCGGAATGTGGCAGAGCAGGCGGAGTACGAAGCCGTAATTCTCAAGGCGTTTCTAAAATTACACAAGACTCCTACTAGATCATCGTGGTATTGACTAGGATTGGGACTATCGACTTCGTGGAAGATGCGAGAGATATAGAATGAATGCATGAATGAATGCCTGGTACCGTCCTGGAACATATGACACGGCCGGTATTTCACGAGAGCTGTACATTGTTGGCAAAGCGAGCGTACGTAAGAGATACACCTCCTCGTGACGACCCCTTGGTTAAGGAATAGAACCTTGTGTGAGAACGAAAGATTAATCGATCAACACATGCACAGAGGACGACCTGAAAGGTACATACGCGAATTATTTTACTCCCATGAAGCGGCAGCCAACGGACTATACCTTTGCAACTCTCACTGATACTCTGGAGTCAAATCCTATCATTCCAAACACCATGAGCCAAGAGCACCGTGGACCACATCCAGGTCTACGGCGATTTATGATGTCGTATGCCCCCGACTGGTGAACTTCTTGACCACTGAGCTTTGAGCTTAAACTCATGTAGCATCTTTTCCCGAAGGATCATATCTGGTACGCTCTGGTGAGGATTTGGAGCCACTGTGAAGGTTGCAGGCATGGAAGCATCCAGAGCTAAAGACTGCATTAACTTGCAGGGCAATCTCCTGGGTCATCGACAACCACATCCGAGTCTCTGGGTTTAAGAGGCACTTCTCGTTATCTGATGTCTCGTAAGTATCAATGCTTCCATTCAGATTCACATGTTCACTTGAGACCTTGCTAGATTACGATATCCGTGGGTATTATTCATCAACTGGGTTCCCTACTTACAACGCTCACTTCATACCCACCAGCTATGCTGTCAATGAACGCGTCGGGGTAAGCCACAGCGAACATGGACAAAGCTTTTCATTAACAACATGTTAGACAACAGCTCTTGGCTTCATCTCTTATGGCGTCCCATTTGTGGTTCAGTGCCTCGTCAATTTTTTGACAGTCCAGTCATGGTGGGATTTCCACCACAGCACTCTGGGATGTATGTACCTAAATCTAGTAGCTATATCTTATCGTTACTCATGACGATACAGTGACCCTCTCTTTGTCGATGACAAGGATCATTACACAATTTGTCAAAGTCACGGTTGGACGACCTCGGCCAGGTAAGCTTACAGTTTTCACGCGCATAGATCCACTTGGCGTGTCTTACAATATTCTCAGATTTAATTTCGCGCTGTCAGCCTGTGACAGGCTCTGCAGATCCTCTTTGGGGCCTATCTACAGTAGATATATGTACACAGACGGTATCCAGGATACTCGAAGATGGATGGAGAAGTTTCCCTAGCGGGCATTCCAGCAGTATGATTGATGTCGTCTCTCCTTGTCACACATCTGATATGTCTATATGTAGTGTCCTTTGCAGGCCTCGGATTCCTCGCCTTGTACTTGGTCGGTAAACTGCATCTATTTGACACCCGGGGATATGTCGTGAGTTCTCATTGCCCTGTGGATAATGCAGCGCGTGTTTTACCACCCATGATTCAGTTTAAAGCGTGGATATCTATCACTCCCCTTGCTGGTGCATTATTCGTGGCAATTTCGCGCACTATGGACTATCGTCGTACGATTTCTGTTTTTTTAATGAAATCATGTTAGATTGCTTACTTCGCCATTCAGACCACTGGCAGGACGTTGTGACTGGATCTTCTCTTGGATTTCTCATTGCATATTTTTCGTACAGGCAGTATTACCCTCACCCAGCATCGGCAGATGCACGTTTACCATACACTACCCGGTTCGAAGATACCAAGAGTGTTGAATTGGATGGAATCAATGGAGCTGCGGAACCGCTGCTAAACAGCTATGATGAAGATGAGGAAGTGGGCAGCACGAGACGTAATCCGAGGACTGGGATTCGACGATAAGCTTTGTTACAGATTTTTTTTCTTGTACGTAATTTTGCGCACCAGCCAGCCAAATTTACCGTTCCGAAATATTAGCACCTTACAATTGTTGGTTTATTTATTATAGCCAGGTCAGAGTGTGTAACTACAGTTGACCAAGCTCCTGGCATTCGCATACATCTACGTATCTTCAGACTTCAGGCAATTAGGTATCGCTTCGATTTCCTTCCAACGACCCCATAGTCCATACTATTGCTCTAAGGGAACTGGCTGGAGGCTTGCTACACGGTTCACCGCCCCTTGGTCCGTTGAACATGGATGGAATCATCCACCGCCGTCCTAGCAGCCTCCTGTTTCTTTCGACTCTTCGGGCCAGATCCTCCAGCCTGCGGCATTGCACCGTCAGTTGCCGGTACCATGGAGTGCTTTCCCCCCTCCTTGGAACGGCTAGAACCATGAGCAGGGTGCGTTTCACCAGGCTTCGAGCGAGCACCGGAAGATCGCTTCTTCCCCCCTCTATTCTTACTCCTAGAAGGAGTAGCACGTTGCGTTTGCGTTTCAGGAGCACTGTGCGCTTCTGCTCGAGTACGCGCCTCTTCCGCTGCCCACCATTTCATGAAGTCTGCCTCTAGTTGAATGGCTCGCTCCTCTTCTTGAATCTCGACAAGCGATCGCTTGTCCTTGGACGCAGGCATGCCCTGCAGAAGCTGTAATTGTTGTATCTCAGCAAATGAAAGTGAGGATGATTCTGTAACGCTCGGTTGCACCACTGGCTGAACAGGCGGAAGTGTCCATGCGGCACCCGTATTTCTGGTCAATACGAATCAGAAAGACATGGTAGATGGGAACAGTAGGCACGTACGAAACACGTCGGGGACCTGGTAAGCTGGACGTCGAAGGCACCTGTCGAACGGGGGAAAAGACAGGGCCGAGTGAAGATGCATTCGGCTGGGACTTTGAAGATGAAGATACGGCTTGAGGAACCGGCCGCTGAGGTGTTCTCGCATGCGTTAGCTTCGTGGCGGCGGATGATTCGGGGAGCGAAGACTTCCCCAAGTCAAGATCAGACGGCGTTCGACGCGGTGTCAGTGATGCATCAGGCTTCAGCGATGAGCTCACGGTCCTACGCTTTGGCGTAGCTACCTGTTTCAAAGACTCCTGACTAGGTTTGGCCATAGCACCGTGTGTTGCTCTGTTTGGAACACCGGATATCTTGGTGTTCTCAGCCTCTGCCATAATGGCCTTGAGATCGGTCCTTTATAGTGGTATCAGCACAATGTATAGCAAGAATAAAAGCAAAAGCTCCACACACCTGGGAGTGGAGATGGACCGTTTCCATACCGGTACCGATCCAGACAGTTCAGCAACCACAGGTACCTGATGATTAGGAGTATCCGACGAAGGTACTTCGTCCATCACGAACAACTCGTCTCCTGACGGTCCAGTATCAGTGGCCTTGGGCGAATCTGCTGCCGGATGCACAGACAGACTTGAAATCGGGCGAGTCTTCATTGGGCTCGCAGTCAATGACTTTGGAGAATCCCTGTGAACCTGTGGCCTGTCTACAGGTTCAAACACGACTGGAATATCCTGTCGAGCAAGCCATCCGGCGTGCTTCCGTAGCGCTTCGTTTGCCAGCAGGTTAGAACGAGAGACCGGAGACTTTGTCATCTGTGCGCTGCGGATGTACTTGGAAAGTTGCCGCACAATGGAAATGTCAAGGTCCTCGAACATGCTACCCTCTAGCATCATCTCCAGATTTGCAGTGATGTAACTTTGCAAACGTTCAACGAGATGGGTCGCGTTGATGTGCGTTGCATCAGCGAGCAAATAGCACGCATTATAAACATCGAGATACTTCAAAATGACTTGTGAACATAGAAGCATCAGGCGATCGAGTAGAAGTTCGTTCTGGTTGGAGTTGTATTATGAACCATGTGCCTAATAATAGTGCACGTGAACTTACCGCTGCGGAAAGAACAGAGAACATGAAGGATAGCACGTCATCTACCCCTTGCACAAAGTCTTCGATGCAGTAAGATGACCAACACGATGAAAATAAGACACAAAAACACACCAAGGGATTCAAACAAGTTCTCGTCTCCATAACACATCCATCGAACGACATATTGCATGACCTGCCACTCCAAGTGCTTGAGATCAATGTCGATGATACCCGATTTATCACGACGCTTAGATGTCCACACACTATTTTCAAAGAAGCTGGCGAAGAATTGACAGCGAGCTTGTAGCACCACTGAATGACTCCAAACGATGACCTGGTCAGCGAGGTGGAGCGCGACGTCGGGCGCAAGGGAGTCTTCTCTTGTATTATTCCGTAAATGACCGGTTAACTGGGTTTTCTGGTAGAGCAGGCGGAAGTCTTCTGCCTGTGAAGGAGTGGGGATTCGCTTCCCTGGCGATTGAAGTGCTTTCAAAAGAAGCTGAAGATTGAATATACGTGCAAGTGATTGAAGTTCCGCCTTGATTGCTACAGGTTTCACAGCAAATGTTTGAAATTGGGACATAAAGGGGGTTCCGATGCGTAAATCCCAAATAGCGAGGAGCTGGTCCGAGTAGAAGTATCGAAGGAGAATAAGGACTGTGAACGGATGACATCCAATGATTTGAATGTGGATCCTGTCTCCTGGGACGAGACTGACCTCAATCCCTGAAGATTTATCATTTAATGGTTGTCCGGTATGCAAAATGTTGCCCAATACTGGACATCTCACAGCGAGAATGAGTCGGTGAGCTGGAAGGTGCAGTGGACCAGGGGTGACAACAACCACGTCGGCATTATAGGGCAAGACGATATCTGGCGCGTTCTTGCGTTGGTCTAGAACCTGGAGTAACTTCGATAGATCTCCGATATCGTCCAGGATCAACGCGTCCTCGCCATCTTCATCAGCATCCAAGAGAGGTGTCGCCATGTTTGGTGTGGCAGACAGTGCCTCCGCACGCGATGACGGACCTAGGTATGGTTGGATCTTAGTAATATCACATGAAAATGAATGTGCAGTGACGTGGATGGGAAGTGGTTTAAAATCGACGCGCAGAGCCGCAAACGCCCCTGTGCTGTTTGCACAGACAGCAACAGCACGCTGTATGTACGGTATGCGCTGGAATTTGAATGCTTTGGCACCGGAACCCTGACCTCCCTTGGCGCTCCGCAAGCGGACGTAAACATGTCCAGACTGAGTGCAGACTATGACAGTTCCATCGGCCCCAATATCAACGTCCTACAAGACGTCAGACGGGGTGGTGTTTGTATTTGAACCCACCCACCTGCACCGCACTGAACTGACGTCTCAGGGCCCATATACGTTGAGGCTTGAAAGCAGGGGAACTCTTTGCGGAATCGACTTCTCCAATAGGTTGTGAAGTAAACGTGAATACTTCCCCATTCGATGAGAGGGCGGCGATGGTGTCATCACAGCTCCTGAGCTTTGTGATGGTCTGACCCTTGATTGCTTGCGGGGGGCGATAAACAGAGATCTCTGAAGGGAATCTCTGAGTGGGGAAACTAGGTATCGAAAGTCAGAAAGAAAGTGAACCGAGCTCAGGAAAAGTTTGACCTAATCTTGGAAATCCCTCCAGACCAAGCACACAAGACTTCGCCCGTGAGAAGTAGACATGCCATGAGGGTTTCCTGAATCCGGAGTCACTCTTATTGTAGAACTATATAAAAATTCCAACGAACCGTCATCACTATTGCGCGAACAGGCTTCACTATACTGGAGACTTTACGAGGGAGCACTTGGACGGGCACTAGCGCCTTGTCGTACCCTAAGAATTTCAACATGAGCATGTATTAACAACTCAGGAGAAATAACCAACCAAGTTGCCCGCCGTTCGTGCCCCACGTCCATACTTCCGTATCTGTCCAGCAACCAGAAGCGGTTTTGCACGCTGCAACACCTTTGACAAACTCTCTCCTCAATGAGCCGACTTTTCGTGGTGTAGCCTGGATATGCTCATCTTGTTTAGCCGAGGATGAGACCTCAATGACGTATCCAAGCTGATGGAAGCGATTTAGTCCCCATGTGAGAACTTCTCCAGTTGAAGTGAGCGCGAGGGTGTGGTCTTGGCCAAGCGCAACGGATTCAATGGTGTGTTTGATGTCGGGAAGAGGCATGAGGGCATACTGTGTATGTTGACTTGGCCCTAAACTGCAGAAAAATTAGCAATGCAACGTACGATCGAGTACATGTCTGCGCCTACCGTCCTCCACCGCCAAAGCCGCACACACGGATGTTATCCCGAGGCTCGGAAGTGAGTACAACTACGGAATGGTGAGCTCGGCACATATATACCCCGAACAAAACGCGCCTGTATGAAGCTTGGACATTGACACTTGCCGGACGTGAATTGGGGCGAAGCGGTCGTCGAGGGACCTGTTGTGCTGATGTGCTACATCGTCCTTACGGGGAATGACGACCTCATCTGGATATGCCCTGTCATTTCCATCGCCCAGCCCCAATGCTGCGTTTCTGATGTCAAAACCCTCTTAAGACGTGATAACTCAATTCCATCAGCACGTCGACCTACCTGTTTGTACCCCAGGTAAACAGTTCGGCAAGAGTCTCTTCGTCCTCAGTGGGCTTTGCAGATTTCACAGTTGAGTTGTAGAGGTCATGTGCAGTATAGCCTTCTAAGTCCTTGATGGAGGTATCGATATCCAGGCGCTTCAAAAGAAGGATCCTTGAACTCAGTAAGACAAGACTGCACCGGTCACACATGCGAAAATAGAGACGTACGCAGCAGAGATATTTCCCGCATATAGCGCCCTATGTAAGGGCGTCCAATGACTCTCCTTGTCCAGTATGTTCACGTTGATAGCTGGGTGGGCGAGGAGCATGCGGACATATTCCAGGCTTGAAGTCTCAGTGGAGCTGCATGCCAGGTGCAGGACTGACCTGCCAAGGGTATCGAGAGCATTTATTTCGAGGGCCATTCCTCTGTTCAGTACCCCCGCGCGCTTCCATGATTTTCCGCTGCTGGTGCTGACAGATGTGGAAGGTTGTCCAGGACCGCCATTGAGCAGGCGGTGAAAGGATTGCTGCTTGCGTAGTGCAAAGTAGACATGGAGCAAGGTCATGCGCTAGGTTTATCGGACTGAACGATCGCTGGGGGTGATAAAATCACTCCTCCTCGAGATCGTCTCGGCTGTGTTGTATGTCGGTACCGATGATAAGGCGGCACAGACGGTGTCTCTGAATAAATGGTTGGCTGTTTCAATGTCGGATATCTGTATTTTAGAGGCCGGTGCTGTTGCAGATGAAGAATAAGTTATAGCCGCTGCGGGAGAGAGAAGTATTAGTACGAGACTGATAGCGACTTGTGGTAGAGAATATCTAACCTGACTCGGATACTATAGATATTGTGTAGTCACTGACTCCCGCCGGATATACAAATTCGGATACTCGGTGAGTGGGAGAGACCGAGTGAGAATATGCACATGATGTATATAAGTAGATCACTACGGGCGGGCCGACGCGCGGATCATCTAACCTCGCTCTGTGCCGGGCCACCAACGTTCCAAATTACATGTTGAAACTCGTCCAACGTGGGCGCGGTAGCGCCGTGCTAGTTATAAGGAAAATTTTGGCGAAGGGCACGTTGTTTAAACTGCAACGAATGTTTGCTCTAATTCTTCCAGACTGATCCGACTGCCAAATGACAGAAATTGGACAGAAATAATTGACAGAATGTACCTGAAATATGCTCAGTCAGGATCATTAGTTTGGGGAAGGATAACCGATGCTGTGAACATGGTGACAGACAGAGGCATACTATGCACTCGGGTATGTCCTCTTCCCTAGTACCAGTGTTCTTATCCAACTAATGGATACAGATATCGGTAAACTAGTCACCTCTATCATACTCAGAAGCCTCGCAACAAAAGGCTTCGGTAGCTCTGGAACCTGTTTGGGTGTCAGGTTGGCAGAGAAGACCATAATACTGTGTCTGTTCAGTATATATCGACCCAGCGGCCGTCCCGCATGTGGCACCAGAAATTCCCAAAATCGCAAACACGGCATTTATGATAAGTACTACCAGCACCTTCTCTCCTGTAATGCAATCCGCCGCAACAGGATAGGAATATGCCTGGTAGCTGTCAAAGTACCTGCGTGAGGCATCAGATAAACACTTACAATATCTCATGGAACACACTCTTCTCCAAAAGAATGCCAGAGTGGCCCTGAAAACACCGTCAGAGGATATGAGCCCACATCCAAACAAGAAGATCATTGCTGTCACTCACTCGGCATCAATCAACCCGATTGCAAGAGCATTGAATGTACTTGTCAGATTCAGTCAGTAACATGACCACGACCACTTACGGTACAAAGATGTGGTATCTTGGAGGAACCGCTGATAATTTGGAACGACGGACATGATGGTTGTCATTCTAAGTGCAATGGTCGTATACACAGAAGACAGTGGGATAGACAACGTGGTCGAAGACATGGCGATAACCACTGCACGCCATGGCACCTCAGGTGTGGAAAATGCCCACGTCGCCCGAGTCAAGTCGTTGATTCGGGGGTAAGCGGTCGAAAACACAACGTAGAGAGCGACTGATATGACAATTGATACATCGGTTCCGAAGAGTTGAGCGACACGATGAATATAGCCTTGAGAGACGATCAAAGAATGTTTGGCGTCAACATTCCAGTAAGCAAATTTAGAAGCTGGCCTCATTTGACGGTGTAGTCCTGGCCCGAGGCTAAACCTGACAAATATCGATATCGTTTTCTTGGGCCCAAAATAGTCTCCCGCCGAGAAAAGTGGGTGCACTTTAAGAGTGGTTGAAATATAGAATTGAGCCGAAGAACGACAAGCCAGACGTCCAACCTGTGCGTGAAAGGGTAAATTCGGACCATAAGCCGGATTTGCAACTTTGCCGTTGTACAGAGAGGTGCAAGATGTATCCATGGTCAATACGCCATTCCTGATGGTTATGAGTTGTCACCCATGCTAACCGCAAAAGACAACTCGATGATGGAGCTTCGATCCGAGAAGACTGATTTGTAATGTTCTACAACCGGCGCCAAGGGATCCGGATCTTCCAGGATGTGGGATTGCAACTTGGAGATAACGAAGAAATTCCGAGAAGTTAGAAGCACCGCAATCTCTCAATAGGAGATGTACGCAAGGGAAAAATATTCGCACCATCGGTCATAAGCCTACTCGTAATCTGTCGGACGCAATGTTCAGTGCAGACAAATATCAGAGACCACGGTATCAGCGCTCATCAATGTTGAACGTGGAAGCTGATGCCAAGAGCTTGAAGCCAAATGTCAAGATCCAAAATCGGTAAATTTCAAAGGATCGCAGCAAGACCGTCGAATCAGGATGTATGTATGAAGGGCGCCAGCGGACAAAATTCCCAGCGATTTCAATTCAGAGTTTCGACGTTTCATTTCGCTTTCAAACACAAGTGATTCGTTTTCGGGTGCTAATTCTCGCTTTCCCGAGACTGATTTTCACGTTAAGTTTCGATTTCATGATTTTGATTTCACTTATTGATTTCACGCGTTTTCAGTTTCGGTTTTGATTTCGTCGACACATTTTGGTTTCAAACTCCGATCGATGTCGTGCAAATACCCGCGCGGGTACACCATAGGCCATGAGGGAGTTGCAGGGGACCAGTGCTGGTGACACTGAAGCTCAAGGTACGTTCTAACTTTTCATCATTTTTCTATATTCTTACTACAAAGCATCTTTGCGCCTGCCTGTTCTCTCGCGCCCGACTCATACTTCACAGGGAAGCACTGGCCCCTTGCGCCCGGTCGGTCACACATATCGCCCTTCAGATGGAAGCGCTGGCTTTGTTATCACATTAGTTTCTGGTTCCAGCTATCTAACCTCTAAGCATGGAATATGTGATCCCACAGAACCGATTCGCGTCTACCCCATGTGTGCAGTTACCTTCCATTTTGAATTATGAGGCTCGAGAGAGCAAGCTTTGTCATTGTCATGGGTGCCTGCTAAGGTTGCGCTTAATCTACAAGTGCTTGAGTAGCGGGTGAGAAAATACTGTTCGAGCTTCTATTGCAAGCTACCATGGATCATGGTAGCACATGGACCACGGAACGCACATGGATACATAAAATCTGACGTCTCCCATTTCTTGACATAACTCTTCATTTTCCCCGTCGCTTCAAGGACATCCCAGACATGGACTCATCCCCCTGCCGCCAGTGTGCATGTCGTGGATATTTGGAAATGGGTGTAAGTTACATTCTGTGACTCTCAGGTATTTGGTGCTGATCGATCCCAGCCTAATGAGTGCGCATGCACTCATACCCCGCAGGATCACACAACTGTGGCCCTTCCACCTCGTCGATGTGCATCTGGCACCTATTTCTCTACGGTGAGTATAAAGAATGAACACTAATCATGAAATTCACATTATGTAGAATGAAAATCCGGCCACATATCGATCCATGTGTGCACTCTGTAATGGAGCGTATTACGTCCATGTCCCTACTCCCACTCAAGCGCCCATCACCCCAACTATCCGCTCTGGTTATGATTCGACCATGGCAAATTCATCAAGTTCTTCATCTGGCAGTCCGGCACTTGCCCGGTACATTCATCCTCCTCCATCACCACTTTCCAGTAGCACTGGAGCACCGCCGACAACTCCTGCACCTCTGACCCTTCGACTGTGGAGTCCTCCCCATGCACCTGCATCTGGAACTACAAATGACCACCGGCGTGCCCCCCATGGGGTATCAGCATCTCCGCTGACATCAGTGCCAATAATCTCTTCCCGGGCAGGCAGGTCTGGACCGTCTGGCAACTCAACCAGATCATCCACTGCTCCCAGGAGACAATTGACTCAGCGCACCACTCAATCCATCAAGTACTTGGTGGTCATCCACCCTGAGCCGGTGAGTAATCTTTGAATGCAACGTATCACATAGTTTTTTACTCTTGTACTTTTGTCTAGGTGTATGGAACGGTCACAACAGACTTTGATCGGCTGTTTCGTGAACTCCGGTGCCCTGTGCCTCAAAAGATTGGCTCCTTTTTACGCCAGGCCGAGTCCCTGCGACTCTCATTCAAGTTTGAAGTGACGGCGCGCTCAGACGAATTGGCAGGACCTATTTTCGATACTCAGTTGACCAACCATTTGGATGGCAAGGGGTTTGTGTTTTCCCGCCCTCACAGCGCACCCAATACCAACACTGTCACAATGTCTCAATACACCTGGTCGTTCCTTATGACTGGAAAAAGTCAGCGATCAGCATTGGGCGCTAAACTCACCTCATCTCGGAAGTCTGCTGAAGATGTCACTCACAAAGACTTGGCCGCAAATGCTGACAAACTCCCTGTACCGTCACCTCATCATGATCACCGCATGGTGTTTGTTGGTAAGCTTCTCCTCCGTTTCCTCTCCCGTTCTTAATCATTGATGTGGCATCCAGTTCCTCTAGAGTTTATTGTTACTGGCCCTCTCGATGGACAGGGCTTGCACCTGTGTCTTGCACCTCGGCTCTGGAACAAGAACTTTCAACCAGACATACATGAAGAGGACACAGAATTTACATGCGCCGACGGGTGCTCTGAGGTATGTAATGTCTTTTCTTGCCTGAGTAGGTGCTCAATTTACGTCTTCACCTCAGCAACCATCAATGGATTCTGATATGGATTTTGATGTTCCTGATTTTGTGCCATTGACACCAGCAGATACTACCAACGTTGGGGTGTCTCTCTTCCTGCCAGGGCCAGTGTCTCCTGTTAATGGGGCAGCACCCTTATCACCTCTACGCATGCCTCAGATTATGTCCTTCGATGGTCCTGCTTCCTCTGCATCGTCCGGTCCAGATACTGCCACTAATACCATCATGCGTCCCCCTGTTGCTTTGCAACCCCGTCAACAATCTCCCGCTGCTGCTGTCGCTGCTTGGAGAGGGAGAATAGCAGCTGCACGAACGACCATGCAGTCCCTCCTCAGTGACGATCCAGCTACCATCACCATCAGTGCAAATACTGCATCAGTTGCAGCCCGATCGTTTATTGACGCTATCAAGAGTTGGTGCCGCCCAGAGGCTTCAATGACTGACGAGCAGTCAACGGGTGCCACACTTACTGGATTGACGCCAACAAGCATTGTCACTGGGGAGTTTGATGTCTCAATGTATGTCGGATGGGCAGCTCTGCCCAAAATGTCACTGACCTATTCTTCTACAGTAGCGATGGTGTTGGACATGGTGTACTTCGCTCTTTCTGGAGCGAGGTCATCAGAATGATTACGGAAGACTCTGGGCATTGGCAAAGTACCTGCGATGGGCATTGGGTACCCATTGTGACCTCACTACCCCCCTGTGATGAAGATATTGTTTCATACCAGGCGTATGGAATCATCTTCCGGACTGCGATGCTTATGGACCTAGAAATCCTCCCCGTTTCTCCGATCATTGTATTGTTTCTGCTGAGCGACTACATCACAGCTACCACTTCATCATTCACCGCTGCCATTGCACCCATTGGGAGTCAACGTCTTCTTGCGTGGCCACCCCCTCTAGTCACTGATGCTGCAACAGGCCGGTTAGAACTATCCATAGCACCTGCAACAAATTTGTATTCCATGATTCTGGAAGTTGACGCTTCTGCCCAGGTTAGTTTCTCATTCATTTCTATCATGACGATGTTTTCACACTGCTTGGTTAGATCACACAGCTGAGGCGTCTTCCTGTACATGCACAGGCTGAGCTTACCCACCGGTTGCGATGTCAGGTGTTCTTTGGCAACCAGTTTGCTCGTGGAACACCTGACCACATTGTATATTCATCAATGCGTCAGGCATTCGACTGCCTAATTGGTGACCGTATGACATTACGTGAGGTGCGTCCTCACATTAAAGACATTCATTCATTGGCTCACATATCACCACTGCTGCATTCAGCATTTCATCACTGAAGATTCATCTAGTACGATTCTTGAGGGAATGTTTGGTGGCCGCATTCTTTCCTCACCAGAGCAGGTTATCCGCCTTCTTGTCATCAATGTTACCCCAGTTGGTGGTGTCTTGAATGATATCATCGCACGATTCAAACTTCATCTGGAGCGCTACCTCCGTGGGTGCAGCACTCCTACTCAAAATGATGGATCAGATCTTTTCGGAGAAGATGTAGTAATTGATCCATTGTTACGAACTCGACTCTTTCTCCGGTGTGTCACCGGTAGTGAGTTCCTTCCAGCATGCCCCCAGCAACAGATCAGGGTTCGATATTTTATTTGCTCTATTCATGTCTCGTCACTGATGTCTTTGAACAGTTGAATTTCCAGACGCAGTGGAGCCATCATTGGCGTGAACATGTGGTGCACCTTGTCACTTATTCTAGATTATTGCAGCCCTTGACATCTACGATGACAAGGGAATCCACATCCACACATGCTTCTATGCAGTGGATGTGCTGTTGAATGAGCCATCTACGCTCATTGTGAACCAAGAAATTCTGGCGGACATGTCCATTTCCACTGACTTTGACAGGTGGATTCACTCCTGTATCAGTGGCAACGCCTTCGATCACTACAATACTTCTGTATGTCTGCTATCCTATCTGATCTGAGTCTTAAAGGCACGCTACTAATCATGCCTACATAGTAAATGTTACTCCTTGCACTTTTCTACTCGCACTTCAACAGTTTGATGGCTCCAATTGCTGTACTTAACTCGTTCTTATGCTGTACTAATCTCTCGCATCGTTTCATTTGCATGCTGCCAAGACCGACCTTCACGTATCCTGTGACCCATAGAATATCACTACTGCTTTCTTCGTACTGACTTCCGTACTAATTGCTACTGATTGTACCCTTGCACCATCCCAGTAATATTGTACCAGCTTCATTTTGTACCCTGACATAATCGTACTGCCCTGCAGCGTCAACTAAGCCTGCATTCTGGGCCTGATCGCATGAATAAGTGTCAATAGGTCAACGAAGACTTTGAAGCTCTAAACGTCACAAAACATGTCATTGAAGCTTTTTATGGGTATATGTTTGGAGATTTGAAGTAAACTGTCGCTGGTCACAGAAGGGATGTCTTCGCTGTGCTGGGATCTTTACATGGATGATACGACTGTTATCTTACAAGTGCTGTAGTATCCAATAAGAAGGCGTGTGCATGATCCATGATCTCCAGCGGGATGTCTTTCATTTGCACGTGCCCCGTATGCTGCATAATTAGTTTGACCTGTATTGCCAAATAGTGCTGAAACTGAGGAAAACGAAACGAAGAAATCCAGCTTGTTTATGTCAATTGTATTGCATAACACCTCGAAAGCTCCAATCTTGGGATCGAATGGCATATTGAAGTCCTTCACCGATAGCCCAGAAAAGAAACCATCTGCTAAAACCATGGAGAGCAACATGCATCCCCCAAGCGGATTCTGAAGTTCTCCCACCAATGCTTTCATGTCGGGCTCGCAGAGGGCATCAATCGCATCGATGCGTAAATTCAAGTCTGCTAGGCTCTTGAGGTATGCGATGATACGCTGAGATGCAATGTCTCCCCTGCACTGAATTCCAGCGCACCCGGAACGCGAAGTCAGGACGATTTCCCGGGCGCCATTCTAATGAATCGACTTAGTGTGAAACAAATAGATTCAGTGAAGAGCGTAATTCTGACCTTGTACATCCACTGGGCAATCTGAAGCCCAAGGCTGCCGACACCTCCCACCAGTATATAAGCCTTCTTGTCGCTGAAAAGATGTTTCTTCACATGGATGGGATCACCAGGCTTGGTAGTAATGATCTCACTGAGACTGCGCATGGGGATCTTAAGCTCGTTGCCAGCTATATCTGATCCAAGACGAATAGCGTGGCCAATTAACCACGGGTCACAGGCAAGCAGCGATTGCAAGCCTTTCGTCAGATGCTTCCATGGGAATGTCTTCCCATTGGCTGTCAAGAGGCGTGCTAAGAGGTGGAGTGTTGCCATGTCTCTGTATTCAGAGACAATTAAATTGAAATGGCCATTAGGGAGGCGGCCGATTTCGGAGTCCGTCGCATGTTGCATTAGAGTAGTAACACGAAAGCCCCGGAGAAGGTAGAGTTGAACAATCTGGATGCCAGTTTGAGAATCTGCGTGTGTCACCAGAATCTCTCCACGAAACCTTCCAGGGTTCTCAAAATATGTAGGACCAACAGCAAGGACTGCTATAGCAAACACGAGAACAGCAGGTGCCATCGATATATCAGCATTCCAAGCTACTGGAGCATCTACCATGCTATCCAGTGGCGATACGATGATATTTCCAACAGGGGAAGTGGATATTCCCATAATGCCTTTGTGCGAGCTGTCCAATGAGCCAATAAAGGTCCATATCTGATCGATCTGATCGTCCGATCGGCTGATGGCCTCTCCTCAGCTCGGCAAGGCAGAATTGAGGGAGACCAGTTTAGGGCAAAGGGAACGAGTGTGTCCAGTGGGCTTGATGTTGCAGTCGAAAGACTGGCAAGAAGACTGCGATCAGATGCGAGTGCTAGGCCATTGAGAGACTGTGCGAGTGCCTTAAGCGAGCGTGCCGCAGTGTAAGTGATGCGAGGACAGGTGAGGGAGCGAGGGGACACAAGGGGGGACGAGCAGATACATCAGACGACCAACATTGCGCAATCTCATTCCAGCGTGCTGTTGTCATATCGGGTGTCGCAGGACGGGAAATGTCTTCTCCTCTTAGAATTCTTTGAAGAACTACGATGTCGTTCATATCATTCCAAGGAATGACCAGTGTTAACACCTGCGCACAGGCGATCATGTTAAAGGTACGTAAGTTTTCTGGATCTATAAATCTCACATGAAACATGACGCGACCAAATGAATAAATGTCGGTTTGCGTAGTCGGTGCACCATTAGCAGGTTGGTCATGTACCTTCAGCAACTCGGGTGCGATCCATCTGATGGCACCAGTTCGAACATTTGATCCGAATGTGCGGTCACCTAAACAACCACTGAAAATTGTCGCCAGACTGAAGCCTGTTAAGCGTGCTATGTATTCTCCTTCCTTGATGTCAACCAGAACGTTAGACTGGAACTCTCCGTCAGGAAAGTTTTATGTCAAGAAGATGAACGAACACTCGTAATGTTTCCATGTACCATATTCGATCCATGAACTGATGGCAACCATATCAGTAAAAGCAAGCTTAAAATGAAAGAAAGACGAACGATAGCAAAGGCCAGACACCACATTATGAAGCTAACGACACAAAAATGAGGTTGAGATACAGAAGTTATACCTAAACAAACTACTCACCAAATTTAGCTTCAACCTAATGTTCAATGCAGCACCCTGTTCCGCGATGAACCGGAGCAGTGTACCGCTCTGTAACCATGGAAGAACAAGAGCTGGAGACGGCCCAAATCCTGCTGTCGTCCCAAGCACGGGAACGATGTTGTCGTGTCTGAGGACAGCCCAATTCTTAGCCACGTGTCGAAATCTCTATCAAATTCAGATCAACGATAAGCTGTAAATGACAAAAGAATTAACGAATTCTCACTTGTAAATCCAGCTCTGATAAGTGAACCTCGATGACTTTTACTGCAACCTGCAGCACAATAATCAATAAATATATCATCAATGTTACTAACATTGTCCGACCATCATAGGACCCGACGGCTGTCTCCATTCGCATTTGCAAATTATCCCAATATCACCTGCAGCAACCAGGTCAGTCATCGTACCGACGATCTGACCTGTCAGGTCCACCAGCCCCTGACTGGCGGGAACCTTAGATCGTCGACCCTGCCAGTTGTCGGTCCTAAACTGATTGATGTATTGAAGAACTTTCGTGGCCCTCGGGCGTTGACCCGCCTCCCAGGACCAGCATTTCTGAATCAAGTCCCAGCGATCGTCGAGGATGTTTTTGGGACGTGCATGTGAGACTTTATTCGATAGCGCGACGCAGATTTGAACATGTTGCTTCTCTTTCCATGGCATATCCCCCGAGACAATCTGAGATGAGAAAACTTAGGATAGAGCTGCAAAAACAGAGAGATCGTACATAGAACATGATACCACCAAAAGAATAGACATCACTCATGAAAGTCGGTTTTTGAGGATTACATTCCAGTCCAAGGACTTCAGGCGCCCGCCATCAAGAATTGAAATTGTGTTCGACAGTGGTCGGATTCAACTGTAAATCTGCTTCTCCTTCGATTGTTGCAAGACCGAAATCAGCCAAACATGGATTCCCTGAACCATCTATGAGGACATTTCCCTGAGGCCTGGGAATGAGTGTAGCATCCGCAGAAAGACGACCGTACATACGGGGTGAAGGTCCCCGTGAACAACATTCATTGATTGGACTGAATAGGTGTCAAGAACGAAAGGGAAGACATGGTAGAAATCGACAAACGATAATCGAGGCCAGCAGCAACACCCTTGACCTAGTAGCATGAATTCTTGTTGGATATAATTGATGGTAATGTTGAGAAGAGAACTCACCAATGCAACTTTGGCAAAAGCAGTAATGATAGTAGTTTCTTTGAGGTAGACGGATAACATTCCAGATGGCATCCACTGGGAGACGAGAGCCGGGAACTTGGATGAGGAATTCACGTATGCGAAGCCAAGTAGCGGAACAATGGTCTGGTGTTTCAGTCTAAGCCACACTTTGAGTTCTCGACGTATTGCCTACATAGACCATTCAGCAAAGTAAAAATTGAACCCAGACGACTGACATTTTCAATTTTGTCCGTAGCTCTCGAAGGGTCAATCTTGAAGACCTTCACTGCGACCTGATGATGGTTATTCATTAGATGGGTGCAGATTTGTCGTTTAACGTGTCTTTTGATGTGGATGTGGAATCTGGATGCGTTAGAGGCGACCATGTAGCAGTATGATTAATGGGGTGGATGTATGTTTTTTTTGACGCCGGAGAAGATACAAAGAAACAGAAGGTCTTGAGGTGAATTCTTGTCGATTTTCAAAAAACACAAAGTACCGACTGAAGGGGAGTCCTCGTAGTATATACAAGTTTCAAGTATTAGGCTCGGTTCTAGAAGAAGCTAATGCTAATGTTTGAATCCAAAGTAGACGGCGTGAGTGCATATCGACATAAAGACTAGAATCGAGAAGGGGCTGGATATCCGAGAGAAAAGATTGAAGTTGAGTGTCAGTAAATGGACAACGGGACTCAGGAACCTCGACATGGGATAGATCAGAATCAGGATGATTTGATACAAATGGATTGGTTGAATCACCGTCCTCGGGATTATGAGTATTGTGATGAGCCAGTAGACGCTGGTCATCCAAGTCATTCCAGTCAATGCCATAGCTGGCAATATCTTCTACCTCCTGGTCCTCAGCCGACTCAACAAACACCCCTCGATGGCCGTGCTCAATGATACCTTGGATGAACATGTCATGGGGCGACCGATGGGGCTCTCCACGACGCCCGAGAACATGGTGATTCCACGAGGCTGCCCACTGGCCTGCGTCGTCATTGATCAAAGGGATGAATAGGAAATGAAGTAGCCACAGGTGTGAATCGTTGTTCACGTCGAGGTTGTCGTAGGCTTCAAGAGTCTGAAAAAATTCCTTCCACTTCTGCCCTAGGCCGTTTGTCACATCCACCCAAAGACGTTCAATCCGGATGTTGTGAACGCTCCTGCAAATATAATTAAAACAGGCTAGCATGTGGAAAGCTCAATGATACTTACCTGCCCCATATGTATGAGCCACGCTCAATTCCTCGTACCTCTTCCATCCGGGCAGCAACAAGTAGATTTTCTGTCCCATGGTTGCCTCTCACTCGGCTTGGGTATCCATGGATCATAGCAATATCTTCAAATAAAGAGAGCACAGTTGCGGAGCGGTTGTTATTACTGACACGAATTCCTAGAACATAACGAGAGAATCCGTCAATGAAGCCATGGATGACTAGCTTCCAGCGGATGAGACCTGCAAATAAATTAGTAGCTTTATTACACCACATGTACACAACACACCATGCTGTCCATCGTGATGAACAAGGGCCATGGGGCCTGGTACAGAATAGCTACGGCGTTGGATTCGCCGTGGACCAAATGTCGCAGGAGATGGACCAACAACTCGCAGATATGATACTTCTATACGACTGCGAGGGATGCGGTAACCAAGCTGCAAAAGATAGCCATCACGCATCCGTCATCCAAAGGACGGAAACTGCTGATGGAGTTCCAGTATCAATCTATCAAGTTCAGCATCTGAAATTGTGGATAGATCACTCGAAGATCCTCGATGGTATATTCGGTTGATACTACCATCAGGCTGCTGCTCATCCACATATACTGGAGGTCCAGGAGAAGAAAGGTTGAATTCGAGTAGTCGACGACGTATGGTGCGGGGATGACATTGATAGAGTTCAGCTAGGCGCCTCCTTGATACCCTTCCTGATGAGAGTACAGCAAGATCAGACGGAAGAATGTGAATGCTGGGTCTTCCGACAGTGCCTGTATGGGTATGACTTCCTAAGTCGACAGGGCTGGCATCTGGTGGATCAGATGATATCGTGGTGGCAATATCTAGCTCTTGAATCATGCGATCCACACTGGCTTCAATGACATGTCTTTCCGCAGGTGGGATGATGTTCAAATGCTGAGATAGCTATCAGATCACGTCCTAAGTTCTCGTAATGATACCACAAGTAGCTACACCTGTTCAATAGCCTCGAGGAATTGAAGGCAGACAGCCTTTTGAGCATTCAAGCGACCAATGTCACCAAGCTGCGTTCTGAGCGTGACATGGACTCTCTCACCCAGTTGCGTGAAAGAATCGTAGATGTTTGATAGTTGAATTGCGTCAGGCATGGCCCTCGGCGAAAAATGGACCTAATGGCTTCGGGGTTGGCGGGTTGGTCGTGATGATGTAACTTAGAGACAGCCCGGAACTTCCCGATCAGGCGCTGAGAAATGTGAAAATGAAAGTCACAAGGGAAAGTCGAAAGTCAACGCCGAAAGTGAAAGCCAAAGTCGAAAGCCAAAGTCGAAAGCCAAAGTCGAAAGCCGAAAGCCAAAGTCGAAAGCCGAAGTCGAAAGTTGAAGTCGAAATCGAAAGCCGAAGTCGAAGTCAAAACTCTTACAAAGCAATGTGAAATCTTTATTTGGAGATGAAGAGTTTCAAGGAAAATCAGGAAAACTTTTTGTCCGCCCAAGTCCGTTATATGTATGATAGGTGACAACCAATATTTATTGGTGCTACTTGATTCGCTTGTGAAGAATCAGGGTTGCTAAGTACTAGCTACCGAAAGCAACCTTCGCTGTTGGAATTGAGTCAGCACTGATATCAGAAACCATTGGCAAAATTCAGCTTATGAACGACTCACCTAGGGTTAGAGCTTGAGCGCTGAGCTCTTTATTAAAATCGATGATCATTCTCCGCATATGCAAGCCCGGCTACTGAGGGAAGACGTTTTGGTTCGGTGACCGAGCCACCAGTGGCATTGACAGTTGATGAAAAGCAGCTCGTTACGTAAGCTTACAGTCTCATGAACTCAGTGAATGCGGCATCAGTCCATGACTCGATGCAATGATCATGATTAGCACAAGCCGACTAGTGTCCTGGCTCAGCGCTCAGTGCTCAGACCCGTAGAAGTGACATTCAGTCATCACTAACCAGAACTACTGGGGATCAACACTTGTAAGCATACGAGGGCACTCCGAGTCATCACCACCTGGACCACGCTCATGGGAGCCGAAAAGGAACCAATAACTGCGGTATGTAGTATGTACAAGGATAAGGATAAGTTCCTGATATTGGCTGGCCCAGGCCCCATAATGTTATGTTCTCACTGGTCGGGAACGCAATGTTCATGTCTTCGGCGCCCGTGATTTATGCATTTTCAAGCATTTGATCGCTTTCGCACAATTTTGCACTCTTGTTCTTCTGCTTCAGTGCGCGAACCATTAACATCAGCTCATGGTTCTTCCCTGCCTCATATGGATCTTGACCCGACTCTATTTTATCCACCGCACAAAACGACGATCCCGTAGTCTCGGGGATGTTTATCAAACACGTTTCTACATTTGTCTGTGGTCCGAACACTCGGGCATTGACAGACAAGTAGTTGGAGTGGTGGTTTTGGTGAGTGATAGATTTTGTGCAACAAATTAACTGTTTGCTAGCGGTTGGCTTGTGAGCAGTCTGCCTTGTTCAGCCACAGCATGCTGACCATCGCATTGTAGGAGTTGACATCAACTGAACTACTTAATGATTTCTCGTGGCTGACCTTGTTCTACTATGACAAAATGCTGGTTTCACCCTCAACAGTACTAATACAAAGAAATGACTATCTTCTTTCGACAGGTCTGTCTAGGGAGACTATTTTTCCAGGTTCCCCCCGGCGCTGGAAAATTAGCTGCTGGCAGTTCTGCCCAAAGTACCATCAAGGTTTGGCTATATTACTTCCAAGTCGAATGGAGTAACTTTATTTCTTATCGACGTGGCAGTCCTGGAGGGCCAGTCTCAAAATTTGCACGATAGGTATCAGCACATCCTCAAAAGACATTCTTTCGACTAATTAAATTTCATACACCACACCAAAGACGATCAATGTGTCAGATGGTTCATGGAGAACAGTGATCATGCTCAGCCACTCGGACTTAGATCAGTGAGATTTGAGGAATTGCTGCCATCCTAAAACATGGGCGTCCACTACCGGAATGAATCTTTCCCCATATTCTTCTACTAAGGCATGTGTCACTAACATTTTGATTCCATGGTCGCTAGTGCGGGGCCTGCGGGCCGTATTCCATCGCCAAGAGCGAAGCTGGATAGTCTCGAACTTCTCGAATTATCGGTGCTCCGAGAGCAGGTCATAGACAAGGTGTTCTTCCGGCAGGGTGAGGTTATAAACCGCTTCACCTTTCTTCCGGAACGCGACTAAAACGGACCCTTCAAGATAGAGTAAGACAGTCTGCGCAACTTTCCGGGATTTTTGTCTTCCCATCGTCCCTACCCTCTGTAAATGGTCGAGATTTGGGCGTTATAAGCTGTCAGGTCAACCTCGTACTTTATCTTCGCCTGTTGTAAGATCGGCAAGTATACGTAGGAATTCATCTCTCTTCTGCACCCTTGAATCGATATCGGGTGCCTGAATTCTGGCTAATATGTAATTGAGCTGGTATTGACCAATCGCAAGTGCTCTTACAACGTCACTAAACTACAATAGCTCGTGAAGATTGCAACTCGTGCTCATCTCCTTATTGATGATTAGAAGGTACTCTGTCAATGATGTGCATCATCTTCCCGTTGGACCGTGCGGGGAGTGCCGAGTTGCTGAATCAGATGTTGATTTGTGTTTACTGTTTCCTGGTGAGTGCAATCGAGTAGAATTGAGAAAGAGTCGGACAAGAACTTGGTCGGCGGCAAATTGGCAGGAGACCAAAAACATTGGGAACGTCGATGAACAGCGATGCAACGGAGGCTGCACTCGGTCTCCTCAGCCTCTCTCCTCTGAACAACAACACAATCCCTCAAATCAGAAAACCAGTACAAATACCGACACCAAGACCACCGCCAACGACAACACCAACGCAACCAGCGCTATCAGCTGGCCCACCTCTTCCAGACGCAGATGCTATCAGCTGCATATGTGGTTTTCTCTTTGACGATGGTTTCAGCATTGCCTGCGACGTCTGCTCTCGTTGGTGCCATGCAGCATGCTTTGATATTGTCGAGGGAGAGGTCCCAGAAGAGTGGCGCTGTTGGGACTGCGATCCCCGTCCTGTTGACCGTGACCGTGCAGTTCGCCTCCAGAAGCAACGTATTACAGAGATGCACGTCAGGGAGAGGGAGAGAGACAAGGAAAAAGATAGAGACAAGGGCAAAAAACGAGATAGAGCAGGGTCGCCCGTACAACGGCGACGAGCCAGCGCTGCTGCCATCGAGGGCTCTGGAAACACAAAGAAGAAACGTAGAGCATCTATCATATCCCCGTCAACACCGCACCCACCACCGACGCCAATACAGCAGGGGGAAGATGAGCCGGTCGACATCGACGAACCGTGGTCTCTATCCTACGTCCCTATCACTAAAGACATCGTTACAACAGAAGCCCATGCCAGACTCCGCAGACAAGCCCAGGCATGGCGGGGCATCACCGCCCTCTCACCACCCATACATCCCAACCGCACACAAATCCACTCAGTTCCACCTACACCATCCCCAAGTCAGCTGCATACCAACCCCCTCGTTCGCCCGCCCACCTACAGCCTCCACACAACCACGCCGGTCCCTTCGTCGAGCTACATTGCCCCGTTTACCTGCGCTATCACCCCGAGCGCTTCTTACCTCGCCGACCCGCTCAATGCGTATGCCCACCTTGGCATGCCGAAACCATTCGTGCACCTCATGGGTCCACCGCTGGACGTCGCCCTCGATGCGAGAGTTGTTGGTGACGAGGGACGCTTTGCCCGGAGTGGGTGTCGTCCAAATGCAGTGTTGAGGCCCTTACTGTGCCGTAAGGCAAAGGATGAGTCCAAGGCAAAGGAATCATCCGAGAAAGAGAGGACAGAAAGCGTGAAGAAAGAGAGGAGGGAAAGCGGGAAGAAGAAGAAGAACGACAAGACAGACTCGGATGAAGAAACCCTAACATTTGGCGTATTCGCACTGCGCGACCTCAAAGCTAACGAAGAAGTCGTTCTCGGTTGGGAATGGGACGACGGAAACGCAGTGCACAGTCTTCCAGCGCTCATAGAGAGCCCACATTTGTATTCGTGCGTCTTTCTCTTATCCTGTTCTTTCTTTTTAACCTTCAATCTTTTGTTTCTTTGTAATTGATCCCGGACCATTTACCGTTCCGTACGTTTACCCCTCACCCTCTTACCTCCCACTCCCACTCCACTCCCCATTCTCTTTCATCATCCCACATCCCTTACTGACTCACTCGCACGAACAGGACGTACCACCTAACTCACCTCCGTGCACAAATGACCTCAATTCTCCATGCGCTCAGTTCCACATTCACAACGTGTGCATGCGGTGCCCGCGCAAGGGACTGCGTTTTGAATGTCATGGCGCAGTATGTTGACAGCGAGCTTGATGCATCTAGTGTCACGTGTGCGTCAGGGCAGCCTATGAATGGTACGGGCGGGATGATGAATGGGAATGGGGCGAGGCAGGCAGGAGAGGCGGATGCCGGGGATGGGTCGAGCTCAGACAAGGAGAATTGGGGACATGATTCTGAGCGAACTGTGGTGGGTCTTGGAATCCAGATGAACGCGAACTCGACTAGTACCAACGGGAATGGTGCCAATATCAACACAAACGGTTTGAATGGAAACACACCATCATCACCGGCATTCACCCGGAAAATTGACCTCGGTCCACTGATTGGCGCGAAACGCGGCTTTAGGACACGGGAAAAGGTGCCATTTGGCGGGGGCGTTGGCGGCGTGGAGATGATTCCGTCGGGATCGGGGGTCAGTTTTGACGCTGAGTCGACTGAGAAGTTTGGTGCTGAGTTGAGTGGGAGATTTGATGTTAGGTCGAGTGGTAGATCATCGAGCGCAGGACCCGACGCATGGCCTTCAAGTTTCAATACTCCCGCCGAGTCCTCGGGCTTGGGACCCAATGGAGGACCATCGAATTGGCGCCCTACGATTTCCACCTCGAGTCAGTCACGAACTTTGAATTGCACGAGGACAAGCGATAGGAAGGGCAAGCGGCGTGCTCCAGAGGAGACAGACGTGGATGCAGATGTGGACGTGGAAGGCGACGGTGAGTGTGTTCTGCTGTATTTTAGCTTTTGGTGTGTCCTCTCTGCAGCGCGTAATTTTCTTTCCTCAGCGTGTGCCCATCCACTATACCCCCCTTCTTTACTCCTTAACCCAGACTTGCTCACTCTCAGTATTTCATTTATCTGTGCAGGCCCTACTCCCGACTCGATGGACGTCAACGAGGAGAATATTCCACCAAGGATGCGTAAGAGGTGGATGCATACTGTGTCTGTGTCCGTGTCACATGATCGTGATGAGCGTGCCTCTTCGAGGAATAAGAGAAATTTTGTTTCTATCAACGCACAGAGTCCATCTGGTTCGCATGGACAGCATGGTCAAAGTCTATTGGGAGTGCATGTACATAGTTCACCAGTGTTGAGTGGACATAGTCCACCTGCTCCGGTGTCTACGACAGACTGGAGAAGCCCGACATCACTCTCAGCGGACAGTCCAGCACCAACATCTGGAGACAGCCCTTCACCATCCCCCGAGAGCACTGTAGATGGAATGGATATCGATGTGAACGATACGTTCTCTGGTAAGCTTTACTTCTGCTTTGCACAATTTTGTTGCTTATGGATTTTCACATCGCTTTTCCTGTGTGCCGCATGTTAGCTGACCCTCTCTCCATAGACATTCGTCAAATGCCACCACCACCAATGCCGGCAGCTCTCGATCCCACCACCATTTCCTCCGTCGCATTCGCATCCGTCTCGCCTTCAGCAACCTTCTCAAAATTATCTCTTCTGTCACCCGTTCTGCCTGATATGCGCTCCGGGTCACCTTCCCTCTTTGGAGTGCCTCTGACAAACTCGTCTAGGCGTCCTATGCCAATGTCATCCCCTCCGCCACCCCAGTCATCCAATAGCAAGAGTCCTTCAGACGCATTGAGCGCGCAAGTCACAGTCTATCCACAACCGTCCAATCCATCGATGTCCAGCGCTTCTTCACCCCATCGTGTGCGGTTTGCATCCCCGGAGGTGTTACATGGGCAACCGTGCTTGAAGACTACTCAACATACTCCGCTTAATTCAGGGAGGCAAGCGACACCTCCTATTTATTCACATACTCCTCCACCTGTGTTGGAAGATGACAAAACAGCTGGTTCAGCAGCAGAGGCCGTACTACAGCCAGATAGGAGCCCTGTACATGACGGAACTTCTCTTGAGGTCAAAATAGTCCCACCAGATGAAGCGCCACAAACAGGTGTTTCTATATCAACAATTATGCGCGATTCAACTACACTGGTACCGTCGATATGCGAGTCAACGCCATCCCTCCATGATTCTGATTCACCACCTCCGTCATGCGAACCCGCACTACCTATACACGAATCCACGCCAGCAACACACGAACTCAGTCCACCAGCATATGAACCCACGCCACCCGCACGCGAACAGTCACCGCTGCCTCCTCCAAAGGTGAAGATGTCCCTAAAGGACTTTGCTTTGCGCAAGAAGAAGCAACGGGAAGAAATGGCGAAGGAGCGGGAATGTGAGTCGCCTGGTGGGTTGAGCATGGGGTTACTAGAGGAGAGCGGGGACGAAGGGATACATGTGGATGATGATGGTGCAGATGAGCGGCTGGGGAGGGATTCTGAGGGCACAGACCATGAGCGTGATTTGGAAGTGACCATGTCAGATATAAGAGAGGTGCGGGATGTGGAGATGGATGGTGATAATGACGTGGGGCAGGCTGTTGAGAGGGTGAAGGACGAACCTGACGCTTCTTTCACCTTGCAGAACGTAGTGGACTGCGTGCTGGAAGATTCACCTGCTGAGAGTCAGCGGCGTTGTGAATCCGAACCACGAGGCGCTACTCCATACCCGCCGAGGTCTCCCGTCGCATCCCTGAGATCTGTTCGTAGCATGGATAATGCTCATCCCAACGGCCAACTTGCAGATCCCACTTCTCTTGTGACCAAGGTCGAGATATCGGAGACTTCTATACCCAATGGACTTGTGGGTGCCTATGATAGGACATCACCATTTGCGCCGGACCCGCCTCCACCTCCATTGCACCAGCAGATCAAGGGTACTGAAAAACAATCGTCATCACCCAAAACTTTTTCGTCACCCCTACCCCCTTCCGCTCCGGCTTCCTATTCTCTTAGACCCTCTCACGAAGATGGAGAAATCACAAGCGCCTCTCCTCCAAAGTCGTCGCATTTCTTCCCTCGATCTTACACACCTCCAACCCAGCCCCGCTCGTTTCAGACCTCACATCCCTTGTCTCCTAATTTTACCCATACCACATCCACACCCACCCCGTCATCTTCCTGGCGTGGCCCACCTCCACCGACAAGAGCACCCTCATCCAACACTCCTTCCTCGAACGGCCCTCCGCGCCCCTTACCCAGTGGGCCACGGGCACTGAGAGTTAGTCAATCATCCCATCCACCAACATATTCTTCTCCTAGTAGCCGCGTGTACAGCGGTTCGCAATACATTCCTCGTGGACCGTCTGCTGATCGTGATCGTCATGACCGTGATCGTCTTGATTGGGAACGAGAGCGCGGGTGGGCGCCACGACCGCGGGGACGTACGGGTAGCAGTGGTTGGGGTCGATAACACCAACCGTTGAATACCGAATAAGGAACCTTATTCTCCCTCTGTTTTTGTAGGCCACTCTTTCCTTTCATGATATTATATTTTTCTGCTTGATCCTGATCATTATTGCTTTTTGCGGCGTGGTTTGTATCGCGCCTTCCTGTGACTTTTTATTTTTATTTCTTTGCTTCTTCATTTCGTGGTATCAACTATGAGTATAGAGTATTATATTGCGTAACGAATGTACAACGAGCCGCGTGTACCATCTCTGCAATCATACTGCATCAGACAAGCTATTCAGTACTGTTCTCACCGTGCGGACTACGGTTATCGGCTCGACTAATTGAGTGCAACTTGTCTGTGACTAACTCTCCTTGGTCAACCCAGGTCAGAGATAGGATGGATACAGTAATCCCGATATCCACAAGCCAGATGGCAAAGCAAGGCGATCTGATTGCTCCATGGCAAGAACTCAGAGTACCCCAACCAAAGCCGGGATGAAGTCCACTGCGCAGACGTATGTACGACTATTTAGAATAAGGGAGACAATCATGTCAGTCCAACTTCCATGAAACCATCAACAAGGTTGTTTGCAGGGTGCTGATGCGAGTCACGATGATTTTCCGTTGATTGCTGAGCGAGTTCAATAACTGAAGTTCTGATCGAGCGCAGAAAAGAGAGCAAAGATCCATGTCTTTCTATCGTTCAAAGCTTCTATCATTCTGTTAAAGTGGTGTTGAAGGGGGATGAGCGTCAAGGAATGGCGCACGCACTGATCCTTCTTGAGACGTTTTTTCTGCACCAGTCTGATAGGACTCGAACGTCATGAGCCTCAATATGATTGTTAGTGTCGCTGGCGAATCGGATCTAGCTTTACCATACTTTCCCATGGCGCAAATCCTGAGATACGCAGTGAACCGGGACTGATAAGACCAGATATAATCTGCGCTCAGCACCGCGTGGTTCAAATGTATCAAGAGCAGAGACGCGATGAAACCACGATTGCAGAACATCGAGCCGGCAGTCATAAAACCAGCTGTGGTGGACCCCTCGCACATACCTAGGATAAAACGCGCTACGAACAGGCCAAGGCTGTGTGACAGGTAAACGCAATGCCCCAAACAAAGATATTGACGCTAGTCAATAGGCTACTAGCGGTTGGATAGCTTTAAATCTGACCTGTATCTCTTGTGGTTGCTGACAGGCGGGTTATAGGTGAAGCAACTTATCGCCTGTCACGTTGAGGATAGGGACATTTAATCTTGACGTGTCCCTGCAGTCTTGTTGATACAATGGACCAATGTACATTTCTTCATATCGCTTCACGGATGGTAATAACCTAGACCAGGTGACACAATACCAACGTGCTCAGGAGAGCGCCACTTGATCGATACGAACATCCTGTGATAAGCGAAGAAACAAAGATATTTTTACTTGTCGTGGTAATTCAGATATAGTACCCGTAACCTACACGGGTATTCAATGACATCCAGCTAGTTCGCTGAGCACAGCAGACTCACGTTCTAAATATTTAGAATATGGCATGTCTACTTCGTCTTCTTTGACGAGTTGGCTGCGAAACGGGGAGATTCTGTAGCCAATTCGCTTGTCAACTGCGCAAAATCCACCTCATTCCGGCGAAAGATGTCTGCAATAATTGTGTCCACTTCCTCAGTGACAGGCATCGGAGTTCCATCTTTCGCGACGGTCTTGACCTGGATGACTTCCATCATCTGAGTAAACACATGCCTCTTGCCCATGGCAGTGAGTTTGCGCTAAAGCCATCATAAGTTTGTGCAACATAAGACGCTACTTCACGTACTTGAAGCTTTTCCATCATACCAGCTTGGCTCAAGGGGTTACTGACTTTCCCGTGCTCAATTACGGTCCAGCCTTCCTTCATCTTCATCCATACGCTTAGCTCCCATGCATCTCTAGAGATCAAACCCTTCTTCTCCGCCTCGTCCGCAACCCCCATCGCCCGGAAGTCTATGGTCCACTCATCCCAAGGCATACCCCAAGTTGGCTGGTTGAATTCATCGGGATCGACGGCACGACGCAGAAGGTCCTTCAGGTATGAATCCCTTTTTTCCAGAGATTGGGAAAGAATATTTGCAACGGTCGCTGAACTAGGTTTTCGGAAGACGATTTCAGATTTTGGGAACCCATGACGGTATCGTAGCTTTATGATGGAGATGAAGTTGTTGATCAAGGGCAGCAACACGGACAGCATAAACATGTCAAGGCACAGTTGACCTGCTAATGGCCAGTTCACCGCAGGAGGAGGGGCCTTGAATATTGGTGATATTTTCCCAAGGATAAACAGGACGCCGTAGCGGTAGAGAGCGCCGTATATGCGTTTGCCAATTAGAAAAGACCATGCAAGATTGGCACCTAGCATGAGGAGGAAGTGTCTCCTGCGATGGAAAGTTTATCAAGTCTTCTCGTCTTCAAGCCCTATGGTGCGACTTACTTTCGGCTTGACACCTCAGTGGTGTCAAGATGGCTAACGAATACCTCAGTGTCAGAAGCATATTCGGATAGAAATGCAGCAACTGGGCTACCCTCGGGGACTCGATGAGTAGCTGGCATCGATTAGAAAACCTCGATCTTGTGGGTGATCAACCAACCTGAGTGCGTGGGCAGTGGTTACTGGGTGACTGCAGTGGGAAGTAGGATAATTAGGTAATCATCTGTCGCTGATAGAGTCGAGTATGATGGGCCGCAGACGGATTCACGATTCCGTTGTCGAACTCAGCTACGTAGCTTCGAGCTTCACGCCCCATGGTACGGAATAATACTGCGAGATACGATGATCGCAAATGAAAGTTGCTGCAGGTCATTCTTCTAGTGCATGAGTCCAAAATAGAAGCTATATTCCCACGAATTATTTCCCACGCCTTCGCCTTATAACATTCGTGACGAAAACATTTTGATTTTCATCCTTCCACAATCAAAAACGCCAATGACGAGAAATGACGGTGCAGAGAGTTGAGTCGGACCCTATACAGGGATCGCAATGACATCGCCCGTTCGGCACCACTCTCCTTGTTACATTTGTAAAGGGACGGGCCTCCACAACTCTGATGGCGGCTTTTGATTGTCACTGTGGGTCATCCTGATTCCTGATAACTGGTTCACGACTTCAGTTGGTATTTACTGTACATTCATCAATTCTGATACTCAGTTACACTGTTAACAATCTCATCCATCTACCAGTGCTTCTTGTGTGTTGGGCACTGGTAGCCATTCGGTTCCTTGAACAAATATAGCTGATGATACTCCTCGGCATCATACCACTGCCCAGCTTCTTTAATTTCTGTCGCAATCGTTTGGCCCTTGAAATGTTCCTCTTGTACCTTCCGCGTGACGTCCTCCGCTATCTTGCTCTGTTCAGGTGAATGTGTGAAAATTACAGAGCGATACTCTGATTCGACAATTAGCATATTGAACATGATGTCAAGGGAACAATCATACGAGTGCCCACGTCACCGCCCTGCCTATTCGGTGTGGTCGGGTCATGGGTGCGGTAGAAAAACTCTGGCAGCAGATAAGACTGATTTGATAGAACTAGAACTGCAACTCACCGACGAGCTCTCCGTACTGGATTATGGAAGGATCAAATTCGATTCTCAAGGCCTCAGCATGATCGGTTGTCCCAGTGCACACTTCTCTGTATGTCGGGTTCTGAGCTTTCTCCAGCCCACCGGTGTATCCGACGCTCGTCTTGAGGATGCCCTTATTCTGCGAAGGAGGATACTCTTTCAGGAATATGTGTTCGACACCCCAAAAACACCCCGCAGCGAATGTGGCAATCTCGCTTTGAGCACCTGTATCAATCAAGATTCATGGTTGAATCCACGCATTCAAAGGAACAATACTTGCCTGAAGACAATGCGGCACGATAATGAGACGTATCAACTGCGTGTGACATTGTAGGCCTGGCGAAAGAAAACAAGGCGGTACGGATGTGATTGAGACGACTAAGCATCTAACTGACCAAGACTACGAGTTGGTGGGAAGCATCAGACACCGCCGATCTATATCAATCATGATATTGGTGCCGTTCAACCTGTGCAATGATGATGTCATAGGCATGAAAGCTAGCGCTGACATGGCACTGCACTCGATAGGAATTCTAGAGCAATCCGAGAGTCCGGCTCGATCGGTCAGCGCTTCAGCATACACAGGACCGGCAAATTCGTATCAGCGCAGCATATAAACGACGACGAACGAACATCAGCTTTCACAACATGGCTTCCCCAAAAAGACCTGTATGATCTTTTGCGAAATGCTTGCGCGAGGGAGATTCGGAAAAAACTAGCACTTCCCCCGAAGAACCCTACTGCAAGTAGCTCACGACCTCCAAAGCCCAATGTCACCACCCAGCTATCTTCACAACCACAGGCTGCCGTCGTAGTCACGACACGCCCAGATATAACGATAAGAAAGGCTGGACTCTGGGCTCACTTCTGGCTCTTTATTGGTTGTCTCTCTCCTGAATATACGGACGGTTTTCATTAGATTTTCTCATCCTTCACAAGTCATATGCCTTTTACATCTAGATCTCTCGACGGATTCTTGTTGACGTGCTTCACCTACTCCCTCTGATGTATTTTTAACTGTCCTTCATATACGATACAGATACCAAACGAACAGGAGCTCGTCGGTGATCTTCCGAATGAATTATCTGGAACGCATCATGATAAGTACTGCCCATTCATATTTCTGCAGCTCGAAACCTTGCCGTTAACGCAACTTGCGACGAACATATATAAAACTCTAGCTTCAAGCATAAAAGCTGTGTCCCGGTAAGCATATGAACTCCTGATCTTCGGCAATCCCAGGTCTAAGATGTATTTTCTCGTGACGTATTCGACTCCAGCCGGACGTTCTTATAATATTACATGCTGACAAACAAAACAATGTCCGTCTAGACTCTAGTCCTACATAACATCTATCCGCAATAAATCATGCCAGGGCACCCGACAGATGTCCCGTATGTTGCACCAGAAACGCCCGAAATCGTGAAAACTGCGTTCACGATACCACCAATACCTTCTCCTGCAATAAAACCCGCTGCCACAGCGAAACAATACATCTGGTAGTTGTTGAAGAACCTATACGAGATGTCAGACGAAGCAATTAAAGTATCTAAAGAAATCATCAGACGCACATTCTCCTCCAGAAAAATGCAATAGTCGAGCCAGTAAACATTGCCATAGGGTACGTGCAGACGTCTGCAAAGTAAGCAAGACGGCCAATCACTGGGATACAGATCACATACTCATTATGAACCCAATTCCAATAGCATTGA